GTAATTTTTTTACATTTATCGCAATTTTTTTTTTTTTACCATTTAGTTCAGATTTTATAAACCCAAACAGTCAAAAGCAGTAAAAAAACAGTACTATTCTAAATTAACTAATGTACACTTACTACTGAAAATACGCGATTAAGTCACAATCAGTTTTTTAGGCTAATGGTTATGAAGATGGAGCCAACAAAAAATTGTATAAAAATAAATAATTTAATACCAGTTAATATATACGTACATATACATAGGTAGAACTAGGAATTTTTGCACCCGGAAAAATGTTAAAATTACGCTCTATCGTAGATCAAGAACCAAATACCCTTTCCTACAAATTGTTCTAACAATTAGTATACAATCATACTTATTGAGTGTCAAAACACGTTACCAGTAACAAAGTTAAAAATATCAAAATAGTAGTAAATTATAAATTATATACTACATAAATGACACTTTCTAAAATGTTCAGCTTGGGGATCAATCCTCGTGATCCTCCCGCTAATTCCGCCACAGTACAATATACATTTTATTACGCTCCCTATTGTTTGTTTTATTTCAAACGAATTATGTTGTTCAATCTCTATAATAATATAACATGGAAGTACTGCTTTCATATTATTAGTGGGATTATTCATTATAAAAACAATAAAATAATGATGAAAACGGGCTATTACAAGTCATACCTAATGATAAGCATTCGTACGGGTGCATAGTTACACGCTATGCGAGAAATGTCGACCACCCTCGTGTGTCAAATTTCAAAGTACTTTTAACACCAAGAGTAAGTTACGAATAATTACAGCTACAGCAAATAGACGAAAAACCAATTTAACAAATTTATATCATAATTATTTCTTCGTTTACCGTCTCATTTCAAACATATATCGAGAACATATACAATAACTACAAGGTTACGGTGTTAGTGTGTCATACCAGTTATAAAATCCAACAATAAAGGGTTTACATTGTATTGTCATGTTTGTGATAGATTTTCATTTTATTTTTTTGTGTACGTGGTAAATAAAATCGTTCGCGTCTCGCGTGTTTTTGATTGTAACACACAATTTCATGAATGCAAAATTAATAATGGATGTATTTAATAAACTATAATATCAAATTATTTTCCATACAATCGGTTTTACCCTTAGGTTTTAATTTGTCACTGCACTCTCGTTTGATTTTCAATTAGGTAATTAAAACTATTTTTTTCGAGCATTTATTTTAAATTACGCAACACAAAAGTAATTACTCTGCTCTACGTATTTTATTTATTTTCGTCCATTTTAAGTTGGACATTTCTAGTAACCTTTTAAAATTAACGAAATAAAATTAGGATAATCGAAGAAAGAAAAACCCAAACATCTTAAAACCCATAGCAGTGTCTTCTCATTTTTTCACAAATAATTCACTCCTCCAAAAATTACCATGAATGAAAAATAAAATAAAATATTTATTCTTAATACCTCAGAACAACCAAGCTTCTAATCAAATTTTTATTTTATAAAATATAGACTTTTCCTGACAGTACAAAATCGGCAAGTTTGGTGTATACACCCCGAGGGTAAAATTGATATTGAATTAATATTGATATTATTGTTTAGTTCAATCAAAACACATATTCCCCATGAAATTATTAATCTTTGCAGTGTTTCGTGTTGTATTTGTATACTTCAAAAATTTAATTTTACTACGGAAAAACGATCATGGAAAGCATTTCATTTGTCGTAAAAGAGAAACATTCGAAATGCATGTATGACGCATTCCCTCCTATATTCTTTTCTGAAAAAACGAATTAAAAACAAAGTTTTGATGATCGAGAGAAGGAGGGGGTATAGTGATTGGTACAGCTCTGTGAAAAAATCGAGATGTTCAATTAAATGGTACATCCAATTACAATGGGTGTCCTTAACCGCCCATCATCAATAACAAAATGATAAATAGACATTCAATGGGGCACAACAAAACTATTGTAAGTAATTTTCTCATTGAAATCGATCGAATACTTACAGCTTCCATGTTGAACTTTAAAATACAATCGAAATGTACGCTTCTTAATATTATAATATGGATTATAAACTATTGTCTACAATAATTCCTAGATATTCGATAGAACTATTTTTGTTTTCACGACAGTAAACTTAAAATTTGTCGATGTATTGTTTTTAACAAATATGGTTTATAATTTTATATGCGTATAACACCGAAATTATAAAAACGTTAAATAACATTTTAATTTTCGACATAAATAATTACTAAATTGAATTTTCAACCTGGGTATTAACTATTAATTATGATGCGATTGTGGAGTGAAACCAATTGTATAAATATTTAATGAAAATCACCATATGACATATTTATCTCAAACGATTAAACTGAAAAGCTTCACGTCAGTTAATCTGTTATATTTTACGTACAATTTAAACTTTATATAAAAAACAAATAAATAAATAGTGCTGAAATCATCAAGCAAAACTTAATTTTATTTTTATTTTCATTTGACAATTTGTTATATTCATACGAAGTATAATATTACATTCTTAATATATTTTATACCAATACATATTCCGGACAAAGTATGTTTATAGCATAGGTACTAGTTTATTTTCTGTAACATTAACGTCGAGTTTAATGATAATATTTTATTAAGTAAAAAAGTATATTAATAAAACTATTTTGAAATAGCCAAATAGCATATAAGCTTTATTTGATGATAATATATAGAAAAACTGAGAAGGGTCCAAAACAATATTTCAAGCGCTTATCTTGGAATATAAAAGTTAGAGTTAAATTTACCTTCAATAGTAATTAAACATTTTTAAACGATGATAGCAATTTAGTATGATGGAAAGTTTTGCAAAAATGATTTGAACTTGGTTCATTAGTTGTCAGTTCATCAAAAAACTCAATATAGGTTTTTCTACTGTAGGTACTATTATTTTTTTCATAGAATTTTTGTAGACATCGACATTTTTCGAAAACCGAGACACATCGATAAAAATAAAACTCAATCAACTAATGAACTAACTTCATGGTTAGATTTATTTTTCCGAGTTACATTAATAGAACCAACATAAATTTCGGTAATAACAGCTTTGACGTACATTTTTAAGTTTTTTTTTTCTTCAATCTCCTCGGATGCTACTGAGAAATTCCAAAAATGTTCATCCTAGACGTCATCATGTGTTTGTATTCAATCAGTAAATAGGCCTGCGTACAACATATAGAATTAAAATAAATGTGTATATCTTAAACACTGTTTGTCATTGTAACAATAAATGAATCTAATTTTATTTGCTCCAACCATGATTTTAAACGCATAACATCTATATTAATAACATGCCTGGTTTTAAAGACAACAATTTTACTATACTGATTAAAAACTTATATCATAATTAAAAACAATAGATAATTTCATTTAAATCGTAGTTTTGTTGCCCTGTTATTATTTAGTCCATGACGACTAATGTTCGTTAAGTGGGCGGAACCATTTTCCTCCAAAAATGAGATGACATTTTAATCAAACTATCCTCGAAAAAAAAAAAATTTAATTCCTTTTTGCTCTACAAATAAATATAATTTTCCTCCAAATATATTTTTCAATGGTCATTCATCTGGTGACTAACATTTTTAAAATAAAACTATGAATGATACTAGTTGCTAGTAGTGGTTCGTTACTGTTGTAATACGGTACAAATATTTTGATCTGCGACATGTGCTCTCTCGGCGCGCGGACCGCTGAGTATATAATATATTATTTTATTAGATTTAAAATTTTGGTATTGGCTAATTTAATATAAAATAACAATCAATTTTTCACACTTAACTCTATTATATTAAACAAAATCAATTAAGTAAAAATTAAACTAAGTTAAATAAAATAGTGGTACACGGCGATATAATGCACAGCGTAATCATCGTTTTTATGAACTATTTTATATGTTGAAACCGATAAAATAATGATAAATTATATATATATGTAAGGTACTCATGTGTGTTTATAAATTATTAGTTCAAAAATAGTAAATATTTTAATTGAAAATGGATAGTAGAAAAGTATATATATATATATATATATATCATGGTGACCGGTAAGTGGAGTAAAATGAATAATCAGTAAGTGCATCAATAATAATTGGAGGAAAATGGATGTGGAGCTAAATGAACAGTGGAGAAAAACGCTATCTCATATTTGAAGGTAAAATATCATTAAGTATTAATTAGCAACTTGACAGTATTTTACAAGAATTACAAAAATACTATATTCAATCCGTACATTCTCTCTTCCATTGTTCAATTTACCACTGTCAACAGCTACTGATAAATTTCAAGGTGATCCTAACACGTTTACCAAGGAAATCAAAGCCGTATCAATCCAAACTGTTCCATTTTAAAAGTTTAAATTTAGTTCCATACGGACTCAAACCCACCCCTAAAAAATTATTATATATTTTAAAATGAGCTTTATAACCGTACGCCAATAATAATTAAAATTAAACTTAAGCTTGAGGATGTTAAGTAGGCAACTAATAAAATATTATTTACGCTGTATATTTTACTTATAGTGCGCCGAATTGTTAACTCATAAATGATAAAACAATTTAAATACAGTATAAAAAAAAATAATACACTACATTTTCGTTTTAATAATGCTAAAACATGATGAGTAAGTATTTTTGCACGTTTTACTTATACTTTTATGTACAAAAAAAAAAAAAAACACCGACTGCAATCATTACTTAAGAGCCGAGTAAAAACTAGGTTTGATTGCTCACTTTAACTCCAAGTTTATAAACGCCTACACGTGGTTGACGGCTTTTACAATACATGCACACGTAGGTAAATAGACAGCAGGTGACCACGTTGCGGGGGCCGAACTGCATAACGATTTAAAAAAAGATTTGTCGAGCCACGTGCGATAAAAAAAAAAAAAAAGAACATCAAATGTTCGCGGGCTACATTGCAAAACGAAAAAATATTACGAACAATTTCTACGATCATGGTACCTGTAAAACGACGTGTCCTGCTGGCGTACATGAGCAGTTGTCGGTTAAACGTCCTGGTCGGACGACTACAGTGGCGTAGCGGGTCAGTTTCATTTCTCGAATGTGTCAAGTTCAGTTTATTAGACGACGACCAACGGCGGAGAAATTAGTAGATTTCGTAAAACTGCGTGCAGTTTAATTTCTTTCTCTCTCTCTCTCTCTCTTTATCTGCCTTTATCTTTTTTTTTTTACCGTCTCTTTATCGTTCTCCGTCTCAACCGGCAAGTGCAACACACGTTGAGCTTTACGTGTGTGTGTGTGTGTGTGTGTGTGTGTGTGTGTGTATGATTGTTTATGTGTTTGTTTATATGCGTGTATGTGTGTGTGTGTGTGTGTGTGGTCTAGTTGATCGAAGAACTCTAACAACAACGACAATAATAATAATATGCGATTCGCGATCGAAACGGACGCGCAAATGGTAACGTTTATTCGCGATGTGAACGAAGTCGTCTTGTCGGGAAAAACGCTAAAACGGCCGCCGAGTGCAGTGTACCGGGTGCGTTTGACTACTGCTGATCTTCGCCGCTTCCGTCTCCGATAGCATTTCTCCCGTCTCGCTGGCGCTGGCGCGTGCGCGTGCGCACTCAATGTGTTTTGGCAGCCGCGAAAAGAAGAAAAAATAAAAAGGGGAAAAAAATAGACAAAATCACATGATACAGTTTTAAAATACGCGCAACATATTTATAAACGTGCAAATACTGTGCGCGTGTGTGCGCGCGTGTACAGAGTGATTTTCGCCTACTACCATTTTTTCGACGAATTCTTCGGAATCTTTTTCTTTCCTCCCCCCCCCCCCCTCATTCCCACAGTTAAATGTCATCGTTGTACCGCAACGTTTTACCGAACGATTTCAATATCTGTTTTGCTGCTCTTCGCCGTAATAATGACGAATCAAAAGTTTTTTTTCAACCGATACGTTTATTCTTCAAAGGCAATATTTCTGTTGTACACACTTTTCCGGTGCTGTACCTGGCTTTCGTTCAGAATACAAGTGGTAAATAGAACTAATTGTAAACTGGTTGACGAGGAAAAAAAAAATGAAAACATACATAAGTAAGTTGAAGCTGATTATACCTTATACCCAGGGCCGTGTTAAGGGGGGTCAAAGGGGGCAATTGCCCCCGGGCGCCCTAGTTTTTAAAAGTAAAGGAGTGCCTTTATCTGCACTTAAAATGCTACACGTGCCCAGTGGCCCCGTAGAAAAAATTTTGCCCCGGGGCGCTGAAATGTTTGACACGGCTCTGCTTATACCCATACGTCATAGCGTTTTCTGCAAAAATTTAGCGATGAAAAATACATGTAAATCGACCGAGATGAACAAATGCTGGGTTGCGAAAATCCATCGACTTTTTCAAAAATCTCCAGGTTTCGTAATAAATACAAAGATTTGATCGACCGTTAACGTGATCAATTATTAATCTTCTCGCACAACTCGTGTCGTTTTTACGGCAAAGAAAATGATAATAATAATAATAATAATAATAATAATCGCTATAACAATAACAGCAATAACAATACGTAGATCGGTAAACATTGATTTTCAGATGACCGTGCGCCGACTGTTGAAATCGTACGCGGACGCGACAGCCAGACGTCGCTGCTAATCGTGTCCGCGTTCATCAACTCGATGAAAATAGTTTTATGAACACGTAAAGACAACGGTTATTAGTATTTTATTTCTATTGTTGAAAACCTGCGTGGGCGCTGCCGATTTCAACAATAGGACGGCGTATGTGCGAAAAGCAATCGCGCAGTAGGCAGGTATCCGCCGTCGTACCGCTCCACCACGTTGTTGTGCACAACACCGAGCGAACATGTCATTGCTGCAACACTAATCTACATAAATATAGCATATATGCACGAGTATACGTACAGTGTCGCGCGTGCACATTCAAAAAAGGATTTAATACTATTTATACGACGACTGCGTGTTCCTTGAACTTGCTCGAAACTTACTTGGCGCAACTCCAAGCACATAATAATACGGTTTCCGTTCGCATTAATGTACGCGGTGCTCGACATACGTTCGCGACGAAAATAAGAAATATCGTGTGTATTTCAACGTCGCCGCCGTCATGCGGAATATTGCAGTTGCGCGCGTTACGTAACTTTTCGAAACAAAGCCGGGACGTATGCCGCGTTAAGTAAACGCCAAGTCGGGTTTTCAGCGCAGAAGACCGTTTTTCATTCTTATTGATCGTCATTTTTTTCCTCCATTCGCAGCTACAGATAAAACCGCCATTGTGGAGTACGTAAAGTGCCTTACGACGTGCATAAGAAAAGAATGTAAAAAAAAACCCACCCGCTCTAACGAATAGGTACTGCAGGTACATCGCGCTCATATAATATACACACATATATATATTATATCATATAAAAATAAAGATTTTGGGTGGACGTTTTTTTTTTTTTTTCAACTATTCGGGAAATTAATCGGTTTCGATTCACAAAATGCGCAACGCGAGCAGTTAAATTGTTGTTTTTCCAACGTTGAATGCACGCGTATATTCATCGCAGCGTTTAATTATAGTTAATTATAATTCTTTTTTCTTTTTTCTTTCATATTTTCCTTTGTCAATCCCTACCCGTTACTAATGCAGCAGCTGCACGCTTGTTTGTTATTCTCAGGGCGTTTTATTTACTGATACATAAATCTCAAGTTAAGGTATATATTGCGTTATAGCAATATAATTCGTTATCAAACCACCATTGCATATTTCTGTATTTACAGTGAATGTAAAAAGTGTACGTATATTCTGTTTTTAGTTAAATATAATATACGAAAAACATAGAAAAATAAATCTATATAAATATTATAAAATAATATAATATAATATAATAAATATATATTGAAAAATGAATATGTTTTTAAATAAATATAAATTTTTCTCAATAATATTATAATTTCATTGATGAATTAACACTTGTATATTATTCCATTATGATTTTTTAATATAATTGATAAATATTATTTTTATTTCTGAAAAAAAAAAAAATCACTATAAAATAGTTATAAAATATTATAACAATAAATGTTCGTAAACTTCATTTTTAATGACGGAAAGGTCTATTTACTCACAGTAACGTTATTAGAAAGCGAAAAACTTTCGGACCATGATAAACGTATAGTCATACGAGAAGTCAAGATGGATCCAAAAATTAGCACTTCTAAAATAGCACAAAATCTTTTAAATTTTATTACCCTACAAAGTACTAAACCGGGTTATGTAATGATTTATAGATATTTATTTTGATAAAATTGTTGAATGTACGTATATTTATCGTTGTTATATTTATTATTATTATTATTATTTTTATTGTTGTTGTCATGGTTTTATTTTTATTTTTTTAATACATTTAAAAATCATAAGAAAATAATACCCATAGCAATACTCGTTGGTTTATCGATAAAAATAAAATATTATTGAGAAAAATGTATATTCATTTAAAAAAATAAAGTGTATGAATACACTCACTGTATATCGATACCTTTTTATTCATAATTAGGGCTAGGGACTTCATGCCCTTAAAAACCTTAAAATATGTATGCATTTATGCCCTAAAGAATCAATAAATATGCTATTAAAATATGTATTTAAAACAATTATATTTGTAATAATTAATTAAATAAAAAAATTTTATTAGTAATAAATTTAATAATATTTTTATATATGATAGATATGATGATCTGAGATAATTTTTTCTTTTTTTCAAATTTTTTTTCATCTTACATTGAGTTTTTATCTAAAACAAAATACTTAAAATAGTTTTAAAAATAAATTAAATTGAAAACATTTTTTTTATTTTTAATATAGTTATAATTCTTCTAACCTTGAGCATTATATTGGACTATAAGATATTTTCTTAAGTTGGAAAATTTAAATGACTGCCTGTTATCAGCTAAAATAATTTTATATTTAGAAAAGGAATGTTACACGTCTACGGAACTTATTGGTGCAAACTTAAAAAATCGTAGGTCACTACTATCTGAAGGCAATCTATCCATAGATTCATTTTTCCATTTAAAATGTTCGAAATTTTTTGTAGTTAGCCTTAGCTTGTGCAGATTCTCCATTTTTTGCAGAATGTATACGTTTTTTATAGTTTTAATTATTTTAATGCATTCAATTAGTGCACCAATAAGACACTTTGATGTCCAAGTCACGTGATATATGAAGAAATAAATCATAATTTTTTTTTATAAAATTTAAAAACTTACTCCTTCATATGAATAATTGTCAAATATGCATTTATAAAATGAAAAATGGTCAAATATGCAAAATATGCAACTATAAATTTTAAATATAAACTTGTATTGCTTTGAAACAAATTTATATATTACATAGCTATATTTTTGATAATTATTTAAAAACATGCAAGTTCCTAGAAGTCCCGAGCCCTATTCATAATCCTTATGTTATATTATATGAGTATAATGCACTTATTTCTTGTTTTTTTTTCTTTCTTTCTATTTTTCTCATAAATTGTCTAACTAAATTAATATCATATAATATTCTCAGCACATTTACTTGATGTTAAATAAACGATTTACGACTCCACACAATTATGAACAAATTATTAGTAAACATTTTAATTGGTTTTCATAACTCAGTGCACGTAATGATTACCGGGTAAAAGAATAACAATATTTTCGATTAGAGCGATACGTGCTTGATTAGATATTTAAATATAAACAAATTTTGGAAAATATAATATAGTTATGTATATTAATAATAATATCAACACATTTATTTTTAGATATTGGAGTATCAGACTTAAATCTATAAATGGAGTGAATAAAAATCGACTCAAAAAGGGTGAAGGTAATATTTATTTTATCCCCCCTCCCAAAAAAAAATCCTAGATGTACCCTGGGAGTTAAAACAACATTTATTGGACCTAATATAAGTACTTGTTTTTTTTTTTTTAATTTACATAATAACATTTTTGAAAACTAAATTTTTAAATTAATTTTACTACTACTAAAGAGCAATATTTATTAATTAAAAGAGAGAATATTTCTTATTCGTATAATTTTATAATTATTATATAATACTAATTCCCTAGTAGTTAGGTCTTAGCTTGACCACTCACACGTATCAAAAACTGTCAGATACCCGAAAATTTTGGCTAATACTTTACCTACTACCCGAAAACGTTGGTTACCCGCAAAATTGGGTATTATCCGGATATACTGGTATTCGGGTACTTGAATATTACCCACATTAAAACAAGAGCACTAAAATATATACACAAATATATCAATTGATGGGGAGGGAATGATCGGTCCGATCATAACCCCTCAAATACGTCACTGTTTTTAGAAGATGATGAATATTGATGTCATAATACATTTTTAAATATTAAACGAAAAAAAATTACGGAAAATTTTTTGAAAATATAACGCAGGGTATAACTTTGTTGATTAATACGCTTAAAAATATGATAATGTGAGAGTGTCATTATAAATGCAACTATAAATTGGATTTTTTTCA